CTGTAGTCCCAGCTACTTGGGAGGCGGAGGCAGGAGACTCGCTTGAGCCCAGGAGTTGGAGGTTGCTGTGAGCTGTAATGCCACAGCACTCTGCCCAGGGGAACAGCTTGAGACTCTGTCTCAAAAAAAAAAAAAGAAACACTACACTGAAGTGTGTGGAACGATAACAAATCGCCAATCTTAGAAGTTGTACATGTGAAATAGGAATAAAATCCTCCTTGTTGCATTTTCTGGCATTGATAGCTCAGTTTTATTTTAGTTTAAGACTTTCTTGGCAAGTGTCTGTTGGTTAAATGTGAATCTTTGCCTTTTGATTTTATTTGTTTTAGATTTTTTACAAAGAGGATCCAATTGTGGGTGATTAAGAGGTCACTACATTTCTGAACTGTTGTTTGACACACCGTGAGTGCTCAAATCACATTGGGTAGGCGTCTTCCTACACAAACACACCAATCACCTTTATACGTGACAGCTATTACTTGGAGCTAAAGAGCATAAAAGCCTTCTCATAAGGAAATAAATATTTAAAATTTTCTACTATTCTGCTTGTTGTGATGTACAAGAATCCCTCAAAGGACAGCAACCCTCCCAGTGCTGTGAGCCGGCAGAGCCCAGACAGGGCAGGGGAGCCAGCACACTGCAGGCAGCCTGCAGGACCATCCCAGCCCTGAAGTGCTGATTTTGGTGTTGCTAGGACACAGCGGAGATGCTGGGGACCCAAATGTCGTGACTGCAACCCTAGGACTTCCTACCTTTAAGGTTAGAACTAAACTCCCTTGTTGGACCTTTTCCTGTAAGGACTATTTTAATAAAAACACAGGAAGCATTAGTTTCAAAAAGAGGTCAAAAATGGAAGAACGAGGGAATTAATAACCAGTGAACTCCATGCTCATTTTCTTTATAAACATGCTATTGGTAATAAATTTTTTTTTTTTGAGGCAAGGTCTTATTCTGTTGCCTGGACTAGAGTGCCATGGCATCATCCTAGCTCACAGCAACCTCAAACTCCTGGGCTCAAGTGATCACCCTGCCTCAGCCTCCCTAATAGCCGGGAATACAGGCTTGTACCACCATGCCTGACTGAGTTTTGTATTTTTTGTAGAGATGGAGTTTTCCTTTGTTGCTCAGGCTAACCTCAAACTCCTGGGCTCCAGGGATCCTCCCACCTCAGCAGCCCAAGTTCTGGGATGGCAGGTGTTTGGCACAGCACCCAACCTAGGTAGTATCTTAAACAACTTTATAGGGGGCGAAGTTGGGTTTCCCTCAGGACACAGCCCATCTTCCCTTGGTGCAGGTGGCATGGGAGTGAGTCCCATCACCGTCACTGTGACTAGTTCAGGGATGGATATAAGAACCTGAGATTGGCCTAATCAGAAGGAAGCTCAAGTCTCTGGTTCAGTGGTGGGGGTGTCCATGTGGTGTATACGGGGCGGGGGGCGTCTGGAACCACTGCAGCTATGTCCCACAGGCAGCCTGAGGACAAAGCCGACAGAGGGAGGAAGGCAGAGAATCAAGAGCAGTGACAAGCGCCTTATTCCTGTACTTTTAGTTAAAGAAACAAACCACCCCCTTTATTGTTTAAACTAGTTTGAATTAGGATTGCTAGTATCTGTAATCAAGAATCTTTACTTGTATGATTGGCATATGCGGAAATATTGAGAAAAGGCTGCCTCAGGTAATTTTAATAACAGTCATGAAGCAAATAATGTTCCTTCGGTCAGATGGGCTGCATGCTTATAGGGCAGTGGTCCCGTAAGGTTGTAATGGAACTGAAAAATCCCTATCACCTAGTGACGCTGTAGCAGTCACAATATCGTAGCACAACACACTACTCACGTGTTTGTGGTGATGCTGGTGCAACAGGCATATGCAAGAGGTTAGACAAGTTCACAAACTCATCCCAGAAAAAGTGGTTTGAAGGGTAGAGTAGGAGCTGGATTGGTGCATAGCTCCCCAAGGGGAGTACTTCGAAGGGGATAGTAGAGGTATTTGGCAATGAAGTATGTAGCACTTTTTCTAGGATGAGTTCATGAACTTAACTGTCCAACCTCGTACTGCACTGCCAATCATTTAAAAGTAGCACATAAAATTATGTACAGTACATAATACTTAATAATAAAAGGCCATATTACTGGTTTATGTATTTTTAATACTGTATATTTTATCATCATTTTAGAGGGAAGGCCTCTGCTTATTAAAAAAAACAACGGGGAAACAGCATCAGGCAGGTCCTTCAGGAGGAACTGCGGAAGAAGGTATTGTCATCGTAGGAGATGGCAGCTCCTCGAGCGTTACTGCCCCTGGGGACCTTTCAGTGGGATGTGGAGATGTGGAGGTGGAAGCCAGTGATACTGATGATCCTGACCCCGTGTAGGCCTAGGCTAATAGAAGTGTGTCTTAGCTTCTAACAAAAAAGTTATAAAAGTTAAAAAAAATTAATAGAAAAAGGCTTATAGAATAAAGATATAAAAAAAGAAAATACTTCATACAGCCGTACAATGTGTTTGTGTTTTTAAGGTATTACAAGAATCAAAAAGTTAAAAATATTACAAGTTTATAAAATAAAAACTTACAGTAAGCTAAGGTTAATTACTATTAAAGAAAGAAAAACATTTTTAAAAAAATGTTTATAAAAATATTTAGCTTCAGAGTCCAGTGTTGATAAAATTTAAAGCAGTGCACAGTAAGAGCCCAGGCCTTCACACGCACTCACACCACTCACCAATGTGCCCACAGCAACTTCAGTCCTGCCAGATCTGTTCCTGGGAAGTGTCCTATATTGGTGGACACATCATCATGAAGTGACATATGACTATATATCATTATTATTTTTATTTTTAGCTGGGGCCAGGTTTGAACTTGCCACCTCTGGTATATGGGGCCGGCGGCACCCTAGTGCTTTGAGCCACAGGCACCGCCCAAGACTATATATTATTAATATATGAAATTGTACTTTGTTATAGTCTTATATTTTCGATTATTGTACTGTCAAGTAAAAGAACCATAGAAACCACTACTTATGTTCATTTTTTCCTTGATAAAAGACAACAACTACTTATGTCACTATTCTGAGTTTACCTCTTCTCATTTAATGGCTACAACATTTTACAGGCAAAGAAACTGAGCCTCGAACCCAATCCATCTGACTCTGAAGTCTGCACTCTTAGCCACTCCCTGCAGGGTGAGGGTTGGCAAGCGAGGGTCAGACCGTAAATGATTTCCGCTTTGCAGGCCACCTGGTCTCTGTCATACTCCTCTGCTGCTGGAATACACAAGCAGCTATACACAGTGCATAAACAAATGAGCATAGCTGTATTCCAATAAATGCTTATGGACGTTAAAACTTGAATTTCATATACCTTCATGTCCTATTTTCAGGTGTCATGAAATATTCTTCTTTTGATTTTTAAAAGTCATTTAAAATTATAAAATCCATTCTGAGCTCATGGGTTATACAAAAACATGTGGCAGGTTACAGATTCTGGTTCTAATGTTATAAATAAATCCGTCTTTTAGGTTATGTGTAGGATGACCCTTGGAGATAACTAATCTCCACTTCTCTGCTTACATCCAGCTGAAGAGCTCTGAGAAGTGGGATGGCCCTGCTTTAAAAAGATCCCCAGACTCCCAAATATAAATCAGTTTCTTGAATAATTACTTGGATGC